TTCTGACAGAAGCCACCCCTGTAGCTCCCTCCCCTGCCAGAACCTGGCCACACAAACCTGATACAGTGTGCTAGCATGTAGCAGTTTTTTTCAGCTAAAATTCGTATGGTAAAATTGGTGACCACAACTTATTTGTGTTTATCTAAAGAGGAAATGTGCCCAAATTAACTATGTCACGCAAGAAAGACATGTTTTCACAAATTTGTAAAGTATTGTAAGGTTTCACAGCGGAGATTTCATTTTTTAATTTATTTGAATATCTACCATGGGTATGCATGAACATACTGAAGTTCACGTGCTAATTGAATAAGATGTGGTGATTATCATTGATCATATTAAAAAAAGAAATTGTAGGTGCTTCTGCTGCTTACCATGTATGGACAGAGCCTTACAGCTTACCGTTTTATAAAATCTGTATTAAATTGTAGTAAAACTGATGGTTGATTTTGACTGCCCACAATATTGTTAGGCATTTAACGGTATAATATTACATTGCATTTGGGTTATAGACATTTTTTAATAAGAAATAAATATTACTTAAACACTTAACAAGTAAAATCAGGGGAATACAGTGTTGAAATGACCGTAACTGTTTTTAAATCACAAGAAAATAGAAGCGTTGCATGGTGAAGCCAACTTAATCGCCTACAAGGTACAGGTTTAGTATTTTGAGTCTGAATAAACAAATAATTTCCAAATGATAGTAAAGAGGAGACTGTTTAAAACCTCCGTCACAAGCCATGGTAGCCTAAATTAAAGCACAACAGTGTCCACCTGTGAAGCATTTCTAGCAACAAACGGAGATTTGATTGAATCACATTGGAAAATAAATTGTCTTGTGATCTTTTGTTTTGTTTTTAATATGATACCGAACTTGATGCTGCTCACAGTATAAATTTTCGAGTAGCACCTTAAATATATTGTAGTTACATTGCAGCTACATTTGCAAGAGATAGGATGGGGAGGAATCTGGGGATTTTTTCAGATAAGTATTTTGCCTGGGTCTTATAAATATATACTCTTTGCCATGGGTAAGAGATGTTTGGATGATTGAAAAGATTATTGCAGTTTGTGTAGTAGATGGAGGTGACTTTAGATGTGTGGCATGGGGAATTGTATGTGGACATTTTAATTTCCTATCTTGCCCAGTGATTATTGATCAGGGTCAGACTATATGCATCACTTTCCTTATGCCAAGCAAAGTAGGGTAGCAGGAGATTGTTATAGTAATTGATTATGAAATAATTAACCAGTAACGTGTATATATGTCTGTGGGGTTTATCCCACCTCCAATACTATTTTGCTTTCTCTGCAGTTTTAGGAAATACAAATGTATATAAGTCAATACTTATTCCACACCTTGAATATCTTGCTTATCACAAGAGTGAGAAAAACTTAATTCCTTTATGGTAAAAATCCCAAAATTTCAGAAAGTGCAGACTCTACATGGCCTTGTTGTGCCCTGAAAGAATTCTGATGGCCTCTGTTCCCTGTGATTGAGTGCCGAAGGTCGCTCCAGCAATCCCTTCTTTCTAGGGAGAGAGTTCAATAGTGAGACCAAGACATGAACAGAGATTAAAAATCTCCTGAAGCTCCCTCCCATCCCCAAAAACACTCCCTTTGCGGCGGTCTTTGCAAGTTTGAACTGATGCAAGTTAAATTCATGTTGCTTAGGTTTTTCAATGGAGAGGGGGTGAGATAATCTTGTCATTCCAATATATTTCTCTTTCAACAGACCCAGAGATACGTTCCTTTGAAAGAAGCATACTGTGAATTTCAGTAGATTCTTGCGTTAAAATAGAGGAGTTGTCAAAATGATTGATATTGCCATTTCAATTGTACCTGCGTTAGAGAAGATTATTTTTTCCTTTTTTTTCTCATGCATCTCACAGGTCATAAATGTTGATGGAACAATGAGGAAAACCCTCCTAGAAGATAAACTTCCACATATATTTGGATTCACACTGCTGGGAGATTACATCTACTGGACTGACTGGCAGAGACGAAGCATTGAAAGAGTTCACAAGATAAAGGCTAGCAGAGATATCATTATTGATCAGCTGCCAGATTTAATGGGCCTTAAAGCAACAAGTGTTACCAAAGTGTTTGGTAAGCGTGAGCAATCATGGGGTGAATCTATAGTAATTTCTAGATGGGCTTGCTTTCATTAAGCAACTGTTTGTTGCTTGTAATGAGAATAACTGTGGTCTCATATGTTGGAATTATTTTAAAGGAAAACTGCACCTATTGTTTGTAAAGTTGGGAAAAAACAGTGCTGCAAAAGAAGTATAGGCTTCTGGTTTTTAGTGACACTTGGCATAAGTCTTCCACAGCTTCCACTGCACTCTTTGAATTTTTGTGAGGAGATTTTATTCCTGCCTCCAGTCTATAGGAATCATTACTTCTGGTGCTCACAGAATTGCTCCATATTATGTTGCTCTTTTCTTCCAGTACCAAGTCCCAGTGATACTCAGTTAGCAGAATGCTTTTTACTATGTCAGGTGGTATAGGCAGAATTAGTGGCCATTAGAGCGTTGCCTCAAAGCATGTGGCACTTAAATATTAACTTTTAACACCTAAATCGTACTTAAATCGTAACAATTAAATCTTGCCCTTAGCATCGGATCAGCAGCTGGAGCTCCATGTTCTTCCACTGCATCTGCTGAAAGGTGCAGCCAGTGGTTTAGGTCCTCTGCTAGCATTCTGCAGTAGTAACTCAGTAGTATACTGGCTTCAGTAGTAACTCATGAGAGGTGCATGTTCACCACAGATCTGTTTACTATCGGGAACATTGGAGTCTGGGCATAGCAGTAAACAGATAAATTTGTTGGTCAGCTGTTAAAATTACTGAGAATAGTTGCAACAGAATCACATAACATAGGTTGTCAAATTACACCCTGCCAGTACATGGAAGGGTAAGATTTACTTGAAGGATAATCAAGTCCTCAAGCTGCTAAGTTACGGCATCAGTCTGAAATATGTATGCCCTAAAAAGGGAAAATTAAAAGAAACCTGGTTGAGACCGATCTTGGAGATTTTTTTTTGTGGTAACAGTCTTTAAATACCTAAATCCTTGATTCCAGCAGATGGAGAAAGGCGCTTATTTATCTTTTGGTCCTTACTCCCCACATTCCCTCCCCATCTGGTCATGGTTGTTCACATGAAGAAAATTCAGTGTGAGATTGTGGTGATCTTGTTGGAACTGCTTCTGCTAATGAATCTTCTCAGCTTTAAATTAAACTGCAGTTATCCAGCTCTTTTCTCACTGTTTCATATCACTGAACATTTATAAAACTGGTGGTTTCAAAGAGATACAAATATGGGGTACTTGGCCAAAAATAACCAAGCTGAACATGTATGTAATGACCTGCCCTCAGTTAAGGAATTTAATCTTTGGGGAAACTAGAAGGATATGTTTGTAGCTGTTATTTGTACTATAGGAAGGATAGGACCAGCTTCCTAATCCTTGGGTAGAGGGAAAAAAGAGTTTTGAATGTTTTTTTCAGAATTCCCTGTTGACAACCCATAGTGTTAACTTACTTTGAAAAATCATTATTACACTGTGTTTCCGCTCAGCCTCCCCCCCTCCCCTTTCCCCCCTATGTCCACAATGTACCGATACCTGTTTTGTTTTGTTCTGGTTTTTAAGGAACTAATTCATGTGCAGAGAACAACGGAGGCTGCAGCCATCTGTGTTTCTTTACACCCCAGGAGACCAGGTGTGCCTGTCCCATTGGCCTTGAGCTGTTGAGTGACATGAAGACTTGCATCATTCCTGAAGCGTTCTTAGTTTTCACAAGCAGAGCAGCAATTCATAGGATTTCCCTTGAAACCAATAATAATGATGTTGCTATTCCTCTTACTGGAGTCAAGGAAGCATCTGCTCTGGATTTTGATGTCTCTGATAACAGAATCTATTGGACTGATGTTAGTTTGAAGGTATTACTGACGTGTGAATTCCCTGAATATAAAGCCACAGAGCAGTTACTTTGATCTAACAAAGGTCTCGGTTACATGATCTGTCCTGCAGTTGCTAATGTTGTCATTGAATTGCATCCAAGGAGACTCTTGGAGTTGAAGACAGTTGCATTGTTGAATGCGCAGTTGGGTGACAGGCATCTTCCTGCTTCAAATAAAAGTCCAAAGTGGTGTCTGCTCATACCAAATGCCTAAGTCTTAGATGCTGCATGTGTTGGATCCATATATGTACCTATTGTAGAAAAGCTGTTTTCATGTCACACAGTAGAGTAATTTAAACATTGAGCTTGGCAACCCCCTGAGCTTTCTACCCTTTTCCAGTTTTTGACTTGGAAGGCAATCTTAATATTAACACTTGGCAAGTGAACTTTGGATTGATTGCTATTGGTCTGTGGCTCCAGCTTGGCACAGAAAAGACCAGGGAACTTCTCCACTCCCCTCCACATGGTGTTAAGCCCCCTCCTGCCCCTAGTTCTATCTCCATGTGTTCCCCAGGAGTTTGACATTTCCTGTGACGTGTTTGGTTCCCATCCAGGTGCATGCTGCAGTGAGTGTTGTGCTCTTCATCAGCATTACTTTGCTTTTGAAGTCACTTAAGTAATGGTAGAAAATGACAAATTCACTTCACTGGAACTGAATTCCTCTGTTTAGCTTCTTAATGGGTTTTCCAAGAGCAATCAAAGTTTCCTTGCCAATGCGCCTAAACCGTAATAGGGAAGTGCTCTCTTTTAGTGGCTGCAGGGCATGTGCAGTTTCCATAGCCTCTCCATGAAGACTAATGAGGGTTGTACTTCAGCATTAAGAGTGCAGCTTGTGGTGCAGATACCTCTCCTTCAGGAACAGTGCCAGTGCAGTAAATTAGCATACTGCAGACACAGTTACTAAATAAATCTCACGCAAGCACGTGGTGAGCTGGAGCTATGGTCGTCTTAACCATTTGTAGTGGAAAATACATTGCTTCAGCTGCATCCATGCGTAGATCCCAGTCTCACTCTGTGCAGAACTGGAAAACATTTTACTTGTGTGTGATCTTCTGAATTATCCAGCATACTGTATTTTTGCGTATGTATCAGCTTATGTTTCAGCACGTCTGGGTTTTCATTCCCCCTGTCCCCCCACCTCCTGCAGCTTAGCAGCAGGTAGTATAACTTCAGAGCCTATAGCCAGCTCCCTTTCCTTTGGTGACCACCACTTCCTTGGTCTCTTCCTGCCTCTGGTTATAGGAGGACTTGCAAAAAGGGATTATACTTTTTCTGAGATGTGGGTTATACCTGTAAAAATATACTACAGGATTTCTGGTTTTGACATTTACCTTTAAAAATACAAAATGTCTCTTAGGCTGAGACGTTCATTTATCAAATCATTAAGAAGTTAAGAGCTGAAATATTAGCAGGCATATAGAGTGATTGCTTAGTGTTGATAACAAGGGTGGGTAATTGTACGTTAGTCCTGGAAGTTACCAGTGGTTTACCTGGAGGTTGTTTCAGTGCTCCTTGCTAGGAGTGGCTTACTTGTGTGAATGCAGTTCTTGCCTCATGACTTGTTTTGTTGAGTTTGCATAAGGAAAATGTAGATGGGATCAGCAAACTTGCTCCAGGTGACTGATCATGAGAAACAATTTAATTCAGATTTCTCTAAACTGAGATGTGTTCCTGAGACTTAAAACATTACAGTGAGTTAAGCAATTTAGAAAAACAAAAACAAAAACAAAAACAACTTTTTGTGTGCAAATAGAAGAAAGGGAGAAGGGGCAAGGAACAATCTGCAGATACATAGTGCTTTCTGAAAATCATATCCTTTTAAGATGTTTTGGAATGGTCATCAGAACCCACTGGCTTTCTGAAAATTCAGGTCTTTTTATCCTGTGAATTGCTCTATCTTTCTTGACAACAGAAATTTATTTTTTAAAATGTAACACTGGCTGATTTTTTTTTTTTTACTAATTTCTTTTTAGTGCACTAAACTTCTTCATAATCATTCCTTTTATTTCAGTTGGGTGTCTGTAAATGCTGTAATATTTTTACACAATTGTTTTCCAGACCATAAGCCGAGCTTTCATGAATGGGAGCTCTGTTGAACATGTGATTGAGTTTGGGCTAGATTATCCTGAGGGAATGGCTGTAGACTGGATGGGAAAGAACCTATACTGGGCAGATACTGGAACCAACCGCATTGAAGTAGCCCGCCTGGATGGGCAGTATAGGCAAGTCCTTGTGTGGAAGGACTTGGACAACCCAAGGTCTCTGGCTCTTGATCCCACCAAAGGGTAAGGGACAGCGTTGTTTTTCAAAGCTTTGTGTGCATATTCTTGTACGTGACAAGTTCATTGGCAGTTTCTGTAGCAGTACTGCATTCAGCTCTGGGACCTCCAACACAAGAAGGACATGGACCTGTTGGAGCAAGTCCAGAGGAGACCACGAAGGTGATCCGAAGGCTGGAGCACCTCTCCTATGAAGACAGGCTGAGAGAGTTGGGGTTGTTCAGCCTGGAGAAGAGAAGGCTCCAGGGAGACCTTAGAGCAGCCTTCCAGTACCTAAAGGGGCTACAAGAAAGCTGGGAACGACATTTTACAAGGGCATGGAGGGATACAACAAGGAGCAATGGCTTTAAATTGGAAGAGGGAAGATTTAGATTCAATATTAGGAAGAAATTCTTCACCATAGGAGTGATGAGGCACTGGCACAGGTTGCCCGGAGAGGTGGTAGATGCCCCATCCCTGGGAACGTTCAAGGCCAGGTTGGTGGGAGGGGAGCGCTAAGCAACCTGGTGTGTTTGAAGATGTCTCTGCTCATTGCAGGGGGGGTTGGAGTAGATGACCTTTAAAGGTCCCTTCCAACCCAAACCATTCTATGATTCTATGATTCATTTCTTCAGGGTCTTTGAAAAGATGATAAACACTTCACAACCCTATGGGTTACAATGAAAAATGTAAGAATTGTTAATGAAAAGTTAAGAGTTGTCAGTCATATTTTTATACCTTTGTCTAAAAAAGAAATACTGTAATACTGCACATAACCACAGGGGTTATTCTTTTTTTTTTTTTTTTTTAAAGAACTGAGAATAAATTTAGAAAAATCAAAGCATGCAACGAAACACCATCTTAGCTAGCTGATGTACTTTTTGTTTCGCTTCTCATTGCAGATACATGTACTGGACTGAATGGGGAGGTAAACCTAGGATTGTTCGAGCATATATGGATGGAACAAACAGCATCACTTTGGTGGATAAAGTGGGTCGTGCCAATGACCTCACTATTGATTATGCAGACCAAAGGCTATATTGGACTGACTTAGACACAAGCATGATTGAGTCATCAAATATGCTAGGTAATCTAGTGTTTTATTATACCAGCCAGTACAGAAATATACACTGACCATAGTAAAGCCACTGAATAATCTGCAATTGGAATAATATAATTAATATTCAATCTGTGTGTATATTTTTCTTATGAGAGGAAATGGAGAGTTAAATGTTTAAGGAGATTTTAAAAAGCTTCCTGAATGAATAACCGTATGATGATTTATAATGATGGTGAGATACAATGTCGTTTCTCTGTATCAATATTATACTGTCTGTGTTTTACCAAAGCAGAGATGACCTCTGAGTTTCTCAAAGTGAGGACAACTTACAGGCTTACTGTAAACCACCCCTGACGTTTCAGTCTGGACACTAATTTTTTGTTGAAGTATTATCTCTGTTTCCAGCTTCAAGGCTAGTTATATTAGTTCAAAACCAAAATACTGCTTGCATTTCCTGCAATCTGAAAGGTTGTGCAGCTACTTCTAGAGTGTATCATAACATGTTTTGTACACAACTTTACAGGTTTTTTTATCTTCTATTGAAATTTCATTTATACATACATGCTAAGATTTACTAAACTTTCACATTGATATTGACATGATAACTAAGTGGATAAAAGAAGGGAATTTTGTTTTCCATAGCTGACATAGAGCTTTTGTGTCATTCAGATATATTGTAAATATTAAATGGTCCACAGGGTTTTAGCTGAGGCAGGTAGGAATTCCTTTTTGAGAAAAGGAATTATAGGAAACTTATATAAGTTTCCAAATGCCACACAGTGAATCAATGATAGGGTCAAAAATGGAATCATCCTGTCCCTGTTTCATTTCCAAAGAGAGATGGGAATTTCCATTTGTGAGATGGGAATTAATGCCTCTAGGATTCCAATGTAAAAATCAAAGTTTATGTGGCAGAACATACAGTATTTAAGCAAACTCATACAGGATTGTTACAGCAGTGCTCTGATTGAAGATATATATAATTTCCGAGCAACTGTTTGTTTTGGGGTTTTTCTAAATCTGTGAAAAGCTACCCTTAGAGTGAGAGGGTTTGGGGTTTTTTTAAGGTGTTACTGTGTGTGTGTATCTTCAGAGTACAGAGAATCTACTAAGATGAGGAAAACAGAGCAAGCGATGCAGTTTTGGATTCTGAGGCTGTCACTGATTTTGCATTTCTTGTATTTGTTGCTTTGAGATGACAGCTACTGAATGGATGTTACTGTTGAGAAATTGCAATAAGGTTGTTTCTTTATCTAGAGTTGGGTTTTTTCCATCCAGAGTGCATGATCTATCAAAGCTCTCTCTAAGAACTGGAAACCGATTGTGGCATTGAGAAGAAACACAATATTGAAATTATCTGTGGTAATTAAACTGATTCTAGAGCTGAACCTGCTGTTAACAGGTATTTGTGGTGAGAAAGTAGAAGGATGAGTGCTGAAGCTAACAATATTGTATGATGTCTTTTTAGTTAGCAGATTATAAAGACTTAAGTAGACTTCTAGCAAGCAGCCTCATCCGTTAAGGAAATGTTATTAGCCTTGCCCTATGTTATGCAGTGTCGATCTCCTTGCCAGGAGAGATCTGATAAGTGTTGCTGATAGAAACATCTACCCCACCAGCAATGAGTAAAGCACACTTATGTGGGTGGATGAATGAACACTGTCCCAGCTTAATCTTGGACGTTATAAACATTACCCAGCAGGAAAAAAATCACTCTTTTGGGAGATTTTTCTCCATGTACCAGCTATCTAAAATTCAGTTAGCTTATCTGCGTCCTTCAAAAGAGCCTAGCCCTTGAATTCATCATTGCGGACTAGAATTGTAAGGAGTACCTGAAAGTGTGAAAGGTATCTAACTTGGACACTTCAGATGCCTAAAAGTAGTCAGGAAGGTTGCCTCTATATTTAGTTCTGGTGGTTCATAGGGAAATGGCTTCATGTTCTAGTGTTTGTGGTTTTCGTTCCTTCTCCAGTCTTGGCGAAATGGGAGAGGCCATGATGGAAAGTAGGGCAGGGGAAGAAAAATGAGGTGTTCTGTAGAGTCTAGCATTGTACAATTGTTTGAAGCAGGAGGAGATGATGCTGATGAAGGCTACATCTTCATTTGCTGTAAAGTGGCAGAGATTCATGGAGGTTTATGCTTGAAAATGTTTAGGAAGGTTATTTATGATAAGACTTTATCTACTTTAGTAGTGCGTCTCTGGCAGAGGCCATCTAATGCTCTAGAAGGTGTTAAATCTGTTGTGAATGTTGCTAACTGAGCCACTGAATGTGGGAGTATTGGGATTTCTGCCAAACAAACGGTTTCCTCATCTCTTGGGGTAGCTGTATGTTAAATTGCACTGCAAAAGATTTGTGTTTCTTGAGTGAAACACTAGAATTTCTCATAGCTGTTTCTCTATGAATCTCAAGTTTGTTGTATGTTGTTGCTTTCGTGCATGTTAATTGGGTTTTTTATTGGCCTAAGTGATTCCTGGAGCTGATAGTATTCTTGAATATGTTTTCCAATATCTATTTGGGATCATAAGCAGAGTAGTATTTATTTAAGTGACAACACACTGGTACAGTTTCAAATTGCTTTGTAGGCAAGAAAGTATAAGAATAAGGTTTTTGAATGCAAGTGTTTAGGTTACCTGTTGAGCAGATACTGCTTAATAATGAGTACCACAATGCTGACTTGGGAAATGAGGTTTTATTTTAAAAAGGGAAGAAAAAGCTTTTTCTTGATGCCAGTCATACCCTTCGTTTCCTGACTTGGGAATTGTCCTTTAGTTGATTATCCTTATTTTTGCAGGACAAGAACGAGAAATCATAGCAGATGATCTACCTCATCCATTTGGATTAACCCAATACAGTGACTACATCTACTGGACAGACTGGAATCTTCACAGCATAGAAAGAGCAGACAAGACCAGTGGGAAGAACAGGACGCTTATTCAGGGCCATCTGGACTTTGTGATGGATATATTGGTCTTCCATTCTTCACGTCAGGATGGCTTGAATGATTGTGTGCAAAACAATGGCCATTGTGGTCACTTGTGTCTTGCCATACCGAATGGATTTAGGTGTGGCTGTGCTGCTCATTACACCTTGGATCCCAACAGCAGGAACTGTAGTTGTAAGCTTTTTTGTTTGCTACTATATTCTTCAGTGCCTGTGGCTCCCAGGTGCTTATGATCCCTTTCAGTGCAGAAAGGGAAGGGATATCACAACTCCATTTCAAAGGTTCTGACTTTAAAGGTGATCTTTAAATATGAGGACAGAGTATGGAGTTTTATATCCATTTTTCTGACATGGAATTAGGGCTGAAGATATGTATTTCAAATCTTAAAAGTAACAGCTGGTATTTCTTGTTTTACTGGAAGTGTTTTCTAGGTGATTCAGCTGTGGATTGAAGCTTTCCCAGTCCTTACCTAAGTGTGTAGGTGGGTGGAAGAGACATTGTACACAAAAATGTCTTTTTTCTCTTAAGTGTTTAATAAAGTCAGCAAAAATAACACCCAATAATACAGTCTCCTAGGTGGTCTGCGCAACGTGCACATGCACTTGAAATTCGTATAAGTTTGTTTTCCCCCTGCAAGTGATATTATGAGCGTGCCAATTCACTGGTTGTCCAATAAGAATTTAAGTTTCTAGTAAAAATTGCAGATGAATAAAAAATGGACTGTTGACTTAAAAAAAATAAACCAACAAAGCTTCAGGCATCCTGGCACAATAGCATATAGAGAAATTTTAACTGGATGAAAAGATGGGTTTATGAAAGGCAGGTCCTGCTTGACTAACCTGATATTCTGTGACAAGATGACCTGCTTAGTGGATGAGGGAGAGGCTGTGGATGTTGTTTACCTGGACTTTAGTAAAGCCTTTGATACCGTTTCCCACAGCATTCTCCTGGAGAAATTGGCTGCTCATGGCTTAGACAGGCGTACTGTTCGCTGGGTAAAACACTGGCTGGATGGCCATCCCTGGTGTCACCATCCCTGGAGGAATTGACAAAACGTGTAGATGTGGTGTGTAGGGACAAGGTTTAGTGGTGGGCTTGTCCATGCTAGGTTAATGGTTGGACTCGATGATCTTGAAGGTCTTTTCCAACCTAAATGTTTCTATGATTCTCTAATAATATAGGAAAACCTGTGACTGTGTATTGCCCACTGTCACTGGTGTTACTTAAATTCCACATGGGGAGCATAGTTATTTACAATTTGAAAAGCAAATACTTTCTGGGTAAGGGTGTGCACATTTACCCTCCAGGAGTACACAAAGAAACATTTTCAACTTAATAGTAAAAATCTCGAATTATGAATTACGTTAGTTTTCATTGTGGATATAATTGTCTCTCTGGGATTTTTGTCCTAAATATTTTTTGTCTTCTGTGTGGGTGTATTTTTGACCATGTGAGTTACATTTTCTTAGGGATTCTGTTTTGGTTTGTTTCAGCCCCTGCCAGCTTCCTGTTGTTTAGCCAGAAATCTGCAATCAGTCGGATGATACCAGATGATCAGCAAAGTCCAGATATCATCCTGCCTATGCATGGTCTAAGGAATGTCAAGGCTATTGATTATGATCCCTTAGATAAATTGATCTACTGGGTGGATGGACGTCAGAATATTATAAAAAGAGCCAAAGATGATGGCACTCAGGCAAGTTTATATGGTGTATATAGTTTTGTGTCGGTCTTTTTGTGTGCTTTGTATTTAATGCTTGACTTTCCGCTTCCATCCCCTGCACCACAGAATCATTGGTTTAAGCTTTACTCCTGCAAGCACTTATTCATGTATATTCTATTTATATGTGAAAATTACTGAAGGCTTTTAGGATTGTGATTTTAATTTGTACACGAAGTGTAATAGAATATAGTACATCATAGGTATCTGAAACTATAAGCCTTGAATTGCAATCTTTAATTAAGGGTGGACACTGAAGTGAGGCAGACTCACTATTCATACTCAGGACAGATAAATTATATTCTAAAATCAGTATTATGTATGCCAATTGTGTGAGAATATTGTCATCATTGTAAAGCTCTTTCAAAATGAAAATTCTCAGCTATCCAAGCTGTAGTTAAACCCTGAGTGAATGTAGAATTGATTGCTGTGCCAGATAGGAATAGGCTTATACCCAGGCTTAATTGCTTTATTGAGTTCGGGACATTATTCTTTTGCGCTAGTTATTCACACAACAGTGGAAAGAAGTGCACTATTCTTCCAGGCAGTGTTATGTGTTAACATAGCTTAACTCCCAGGTCAAGATAATAGATTCTTTGAAAACTATGGTTTGAGTAGGGATATAAAACCAAATGGAGAATGGGCAAGTTCTGTTTTTGTAGTTCTTGGGCAGTTGTATCTAAACAATGTGACAGGATACCAATGGAAATGGACTAGTCTCTTCATGCATGTAGGGATTCAGGGGGTTTATGGTTTCCTTTCAAGGAAGAGATGACAATTTTGGTTTTTTGGCCATTTCTTTTAAGATTGGGAGAAGGTATGTTGGGATAGGCAGCTAACTGGGTTGTGGATGAATTTTGAAGAAGTTTTGCTCTTGTTTTTTGGGATTATGCTAGGTGCTAATTGTTGTAGTCTAGCTTCTCTTTGGTACTTGCTAGGTGCAAATTGCAATGGAGAGTCATTTGCTCTGTGTTTTCCTCAACCTTGGTCACAGAGCTTTGAAGATGCAGATCCCCTGCAAATTTTGACTTTCCAATTTTCACTACCTGTATTTACTTAATTTTGCTAAATCGTGCTGTTTGCAGATGATGCATATGAATTTCATACCTGGGTAATGTTACCTTTGATTTCAGGAAAAGAATGATTTCTTTTTATTTCTAGGCACACTGTCAAGACAAAACAGGGATAAAGCTTTATATAAAAAGAAAAAAGCCTCTATATCACTATGCAGAACGGAGGCTTAAAACCAAATTGTGGAAATAGAACTTTCACAAGTAATGCTGTGTTGGGTAATTAATTTGACTTAAGTGGAGCACGAAATGGTGTCTTCAGCTTGCTTGACCCATATGAACTTTTTGTGGTACTGCTTTTGTGTTTGGATTGGGAACACCGTGTTAGGATACTTAAGGAAGCCACCACTTTTCCCTCACCGTTATCATGTCACCAGAAGCAGTCACCTTTGAAGGCTACTTTGATGTTGAGAGTCCTGCCAGCACTATTACTATCCCAATGGCATGGCTGTATGCTGGTGGAGCCTGTGTAACGTTAAGCAAACAACAGAAAGGTTATTTTCCTTTAGGGATTTTTTTTATGTGCTCTTCACAGAAATAAAGTATTGAAGTCTATGGTAGTATTCAATATAGAGTTAAAAAGTGTAGTAAATAGTATATTAGTTAGATTGGGAGGAGTTGAGGGTAGTGATTCCAGGAATTTAGCAATAATGTCAAGTTTTGTAAGGTCCGTCATAAAGACATGAGGGTGAAAGCAAGGTAATGTTGTTAGTATGGGTGTGAGGCAGAGCTGTAGCTGTTTGACATGTAAGCAAACAGAACCAAGTTTCATTAAAAGATTTTGCTTTTAGAAGCCAGGACTTAAAGAAAATCAATGTCTTCTACACTGCAAATAATAAAGTAAGGAGACTTTGGCAAGAGATAAGAGATTTGTTCAGCTGACCGTATAACAGTGCAGGTCTGGCCAGAAGGCTGCCTTGTTTCTTGCATTGTTTCATTCAAGATTGTTCTCTGCATAAACATTCACTATTGTTTTCTTCCATCTCTTGCTAATTAATTCTACTTATAGGAGGCCCTGCAACTGCTTTCTGGGGAGTGTTGCATAATCTTACAGATTTTATTTAGATATTTTTCCACAGTTTGAATCAAATCTTTTTTTGTTGAGCTTTATTGCATTTCTTGTACTTGTTGTTTCCTCATGGGTGGTTTTAGGTGTTTCTGGACTGTCAGGTCGGTAAACCATGCTCTCTCTGCAATCAGTGTTCTTCAATCAATAATCAGAATAATTACTGGCAATTGTTCCCTATATGTTGTCTCGCAGCCTTTCACTGTCATGAGCACTCCAAACCAAAGCCAGAACCCAGAGAAGCAGCCACATGACCTCAGCATCGATATATACAGCCATACCTTGTACTGGACCTGTGAAGCCACAAATTCAGTCAACGTCCACAGACTGAACGGCGAGTCAATTGGGATGGTGTTGCGAGGGGATCACGACAAGCCTAGAGCCATCGTAGTGAATGCAGAGCGAGGGTGAGATTCCTTTCTGTACCTCGTACAGAACACTCTTGGGATGTATGTCAGTTGTGTGTGTGACTCTTGTGTTTTTTTAAAAGGGAGGATTTTTGCATATTTAATTGTTCAGGATGTAGGTGACTGCTTGTCTGATTCCGGATTTTAAAGGTATCCAGCTTTCTCTTCCTGTTCTCTCCTTTGTGCCTCTTCTGGTGTGCTGACATACATGTTCACATAGCCACGTGGTTGCTTATCATGAGGAACTAACCCAGGTGGGGAAAACAAAGCAAAACCATCTTTTCCTGTTTGCTACATGAGTGCACAGCCCCTCCACCTAATAGGAGAAGCAGGAGAGTTTACACTGTGTTTTGATCAGCTAGGGATCTGGCTTATAAATGTTTGGTAATCCTAAAACAAATGTTTCTAGGCAAAAAAAGGGGATCTCTCATATGATACAACTATTCCTGCTAATGTAATAGTATAAAGTTAAACAAACAAACAAACTCCTTAGGTTCCATATGTTTTTAAGTTAGTTCTGCCTTGATGTGTATCTCGGAAACTTCTGAAATGAACTAAAACAGGTAGGGTGCACTAGAGTGGTTTCCCACAGGAATAAAATACATTGTTTTGCTGCAAAGCAGTTTTGGTTAGATTCAGCAGACTCGCCTCCACTTCAGGTGGTTAGTAGATTCATTCTTAGAGGTCAAAGATGTTCCTTTACTGTTCTCTTTAAAAGTTAGATGCTTAAATCCCAATTTACTACTCAGTGGCGTACCATGTGCTTGACAGATGTTGGATGGCAACATTTCATAACTGTGTGGATACAGTAGTACCCAGAGACTCTATCTGGAGCATTTATAGGATTGGTATTTTATACAATACTCAGTGTACTCTGCACAGTTCCAAAGCTGGTGTGGGGAGGGGGGGATTAGAGGAAAGATTCTAATCTTATTGGGACTAAGTCACTTGGACATAGTTTTATTTATTTCTCTGTTAAAATGGGAGTTTGGGTTTGTTGACCTCTAAAGCTTCTAACTTTTCTAGTCAGATTTTCAAATGATTTAAAGATAAATCTGGTTTTAAATTAAAGGAGGAAAAGATGGGAGAGAGGCTATGCTGAATACTGTGACTACCAGGGAGAGCTGAATAAGTGATCTGTGTACTGAACTTCTTGTGCCTTAGTTCCAGAAACCCTTCTCTCCACCTCTCCCTTGACTGCACGTTGTGACTGCTGCCTCTCCTCCTAGTGCCGTCACAAAGACTTCGCAGCAGTGTAACCCACTGTATTAGGGAGTTTGCTCATGTTTTCCACAACTGAAAAAATAGTGGACTTCTCCCTGAGGGAGTTCTCAGTTCATCATGTGGGTACATAAGCCCTTTTTTTCCCTATGCAGAGGGGAGGGCAGAGACTGCTCTGTTTGCAGCTGTAGGCAGATAGAAAGAATTAATGCAACTGAGACATCAGGAACATCCCATCCTCAGTTGTTCTTCTTTCTGGGATCTTTGCCTTGCTCAAGTTTGGTAGGAACTTGCAGGAAGGAAGGCAACTCAGAAGGGAGAGGAGGTTACAGTTAATGGGTTTTTTGTTAGAAAAAGCTGCTGGGCTTTGATTCACAAACGGGGACAGCGTTACCCAAGGATGGTTGTAGAAAATCTGTGGTAGTCTCTTTCAACCCCCAGCTTCAGTGCGGCAACAGTGCTGCCAGCGTAGCAGTGCTGAGTGCTGAGGCATTTTATGGCCTGGGTGTATTAAGGACAAATGCTATTAATTTCAGGCTCTGGATCTTTGCATCTGGGAGCAACAGTCACCGCAGTCATCCCTGTGTAAACCATTCCCACTTACAATGTAGAACCTGTGTGCAGAGGTGAGTTGCCTCCCTTCTGAAGCTCTTAGATAAGCGGTTGGTGTCTTTGTTCTCAGGTACATGTACTTCACCAACATGCAAGAGCGAGCTCCCAAGATTGAGCGTGCAGCCCTCGATGGCACAGAGAGAGAAGTGCTTTTTACAACTGGGTTGATCCGACCAGTAGCCCTGGTGATTGACAACAAACTTGGAAAACTTTTCTGGGTGGATGCAGATCTGAAGCGTATTGAAAGCTGTGACTTGTCAGGTATGTGGTATGCAGTTAAACATTTGGAGTGGAGTGTGTGTATGTATAGGACATCATTCCCTCTTTGATGCTGACCCCAGTAACTTCTATCTCCGCTATTGCCAGTTCTGTGTAGGCAGTCACAGATAACAATTGCTGGTGGGCTCCCATCTTTGAAGTGATTGGAATAAACATGTCTGTAATGATTGCCACCCTCCAAGGGAGCCATTTGACTTTTGATATGTTATGAAAGCAGCTCTTGCAAGATCAGATTTAAATAGGTGTTGCCCGTCACGGAACCCCTAAATCAACTGTCCCATGCCCTTTTTTTTCCTTATGGTTTGAAAAGTTTGCATAACTCTTCAGTTTTTCTTTCTCTGGTTTTTACAGCTTAGTAAATCAAGGTAGCTTGAAAGACAGAAGGAAGGGGAATAGGTTTCTTCTAAGATGGATGATAAGGTAGCTCATCTGGAATACCAGTGTTGCAAACCAGTGGAGAGATGTCAACTCGTTGCAGTTTTCCCATATTAGTCAGATAAAGTGTTACTCCACCTCCGTAGCAATAGCACCACGTGGATCTTAGAGAGCATTGTTCATCCTTGACTTTTAAAAGCACTTGATAGTGCTGAAGAAGTGGAGCAATGGGGCTTACTCATCTGGTGAGCCATATAGCACAGAGGATGCAATGGCCCTACTTTCTGACTCGTGATTTGTTCTCTCATTGTCATCTGTGTTATCAAGAAATGTAACTCATAAAGAAAGTGCAGAGAGAAATGGACTAGTGTGAGGGAGTAGAAGCTGGGCTGTTCTAGTGATTGGCATCTGCCATAAAAGGCTGATTCTCCCAATTTTCGGTGGGTCTTCTTTTCTTGCCATGTAGTCACATCGTCACATCCTTCTCTTGTGTTGTAGTGAGGCAATGAACTAAAACAGGAGAAAACTCTTCACTTTTTTATAAGGACAGTTCACTTTTGAGCACCTAAAACTGACTCAAAGTCAGACTTGGGTCTCTTCTGCCAGAGAGGGGACACAAACATGAAGGTGGAGCTGGGAAGGTAAAGCAGCTTATGTCTTTCATCAGTTATCAAGCTGCATAGGGGGCTATTGTGAAACTGCCTGTGTAGCCACAGAATGTCCGATTCACAATAGGTATCAAAGGACCTACAAAAATTTATAGGAGAAGAGAAGATAGGAGAGAGACAAGACTTGACCTATGAAACAACCCACATTTGAGAAGAAGAGGTTGACAGAGTGGGACACATAACACAAAACCCATCAGAGATATTGAGAGGGTTTTGTCTAGTGATGAAAGGAGAAGTGCTGTGGGAGGAAATGCAAAAGTAAAATGACAAGATGGAAAAGCTTCATAATCATGCAGGTATTGTGGCTGAAGTGGTATCCACAAATGCCAGAGAGAGAGAGAATAGGCACCAAAAATTACATGAAAATCATATGGTTTGGGAGAGGGAGAATGTTCCAGGGAGAAGTTAATGAATTGAGAAGGGAGGATGGGATCAATAACTAGTGCTGTTACTGATAAAAAGATGACCTCCGTGTAACAGGAAGCCATATTACTTCATGAAGCTGTCCCATACAGTGGACCTTGCTATGCCAAGGTCTTCTGCTGGTGTGTACGGAAGATGCAACTTTGTCCTTGCATAGCACAGCATAAAATGCAGAGGAATCTGTTTATTATTGGTTTAGATCTAAGTCTTGAATAAGTAAGACCTGACAATAGGACTCAGGTAAACTGATAGATGAATAAACTAGCAGCTAGACCATCACATGCTCATAGTTGTATCCTGTGGTTGCAGCTTCCTTTGTATGCATGCTTCCTTTTCGTGACATTAAAACTCCATGTAAGCGTATGCTAGCATACTGGATATATATTTTAATCCAATTCTTGTTACCTTTTTACAGGGAAGACTAAACTTTCTCTGGTTAGTACTGAACCAAAGCTTTTAGTGCACATTTATTTGATGGGGTCACAACTAAAGAATCAAACCCTGTAGGTAAGATAAAATTACGAGAAGGCTACAGGATTAAAAGAAAACAGTGGTTATTAACTAGAGGATATATATCATGTAGCCAGAGAACTATGGTTGTATTTGATCCAGCTGAGCTCACTGTAATTTGATTCACTGAGCTGTTGATCTTTTAAATGAGTTAACAGCACATTTTTAAATATTTTTGCAGTCTTGCTTCACAACTTCAGAAGAAATTTGACAGCCAGTTATGTTGGCTTTAATTAGTTCCTCCAAAAAGTATTTTCTGAGCAAAACACTTTAAAATGGGCATGGATTAGCAAAAGGATTTTAGCGTAAACTGAGGCAGCTGAATAAATTGGACCAAAATTGTGTATAGCATCCTTCATGCCGATTAGACTGGTCTAGGCAGCCTTACTCCTTCGTAGACGTGGGGAAATGATGTGGTTACGGAGGTTTCTGAAGCTTGCACTACACATTTATTAACAGCATCCTGCCAAATCATGGAATAACCTCTGATGTCCAGTGCTTAACGTTCAGAGAGGGATAAAAGAACTATAAACCTGTTTGACAGTTTTCTTTGCAAAGTTCTTCGATTTTTCAGCTGAAGTTGTTGATGCTTTTTAGACATTCATATACCAGTTGCAAATAACTTGTCTGCTACACCAGTCAATTAAAAAATAGTGTTTTATATTATTATTGAAGTGACTGGAAAAGCTATAAAATTGCTGTGGTGAAAACATGCTTTGTTTTCAATTAGACTTTAAATAGAGGAACTGTGTGTCCTTCAAGCTTAATGTTCTTTACATTTAACTATTGATTTCCACCTTGAAAAGACTACACATCTGTTTCGTTCTGGGAATCAAAGTATTTAATTACTACGGAAATTCAACACTTCTTTACTTGTAACATGCTTTCTCTTCTTTTTTCTAACCTTATCTGTTGAAAATATCCTTTTGTTTATTCAGATCAAGTTTATCATTTTGATCATTCTTCTAAACAACAATTGAATGGTGTCATCCAGTGCTGTAGGTACCCTTTGCCTCTCCTCTTAAAATTATTCATTAATAATTTGGACTGTCATTTACTTAAGATCAAATTCAACATAGTTATAGTATACATTAATCACCTTGTCCGGTGCTATCTCCAGCAGCTTCCCAAATGACCAGTGTTCAGCTTTTTGCAGATGAGGGAGAAAATGGGTGATGCTTGATGTACACCCCCAAAAACCATTAGATGTAGCCTAGTTTAGGCCTGGATTTGAGAGGCTGTTCAAATAGGCTTGGATTCTAGAAGGACCCCTAGCTTGCAATTGTCACCCAACACCTCATGTATTCATGATTTCAGGGTGCCTTCAGGATATCCTTCAGGAAACCAGCTTGCTTTTTATTTCTAAATGGATGAACAATTTAGCACTTAAAAAATCACGAAGGCAGAAGGAGTTTTCTTTATATCGAGTTGAAACGAGGCTTTCTTGTTCTTGTGGTGTCTGAAGGTTGTACTTTTGGGTCAAAACGTGAGGCTTAGTCTGGCAAAAGGACAGTGGACTTTGAAAATCCAATGACACTGAAGTTCATAGGAGCTAAGGGTGCTCAGCACGTTGCAGGGTGAATCAACAAACCTCACTGAGAGCCTTCTGTGAAAATGTTTCCTAGTATATCTAAATTTTAAGACCTGTTTAGGAGAAGACGAACATCTCAGGAACTGCACTGCTAGAGAGTAGTACTAAGGGTCAGGTTTAGTGCCCATTTAGTGAAATTAGTGCAGGTGCATCTATTCTGCTCTTTCACTCTTTACAAGAGTAAAAGAATCACTTTTTACAAGAGTAAAATCCAGTGGTACCTTGGAAGTGTCTGCAATAATAGTCACATCAGATTACAACGAGGACTGTACTGTCACATACAGTTCATAAATGTTTCTTCTGAAAATTGAATGAAACAAAAATGTCTTCCTCATTGGTTTGGAAAGAAAAGAAATTGAGGGCTAAAGAATTAAAACCTCAGTCGCGAATCCAAGAATTTCTGATCTCTCTACAACTAAATTCGCTTTGAATGCACACTGTTTGTCATGACAGTCAAGCAAGAGTCATTGCAGACAGTAGTCTTATGTGCAAAACTAATAGAATCTGTAATTGAAATAAATGTTACATTCTTATGCTTGGCTGAGCTCTACATAATTTATGCAGCAAATTAGTTGAATCCAGTGCTCATAGCATTTTTATTATGTATCCAGGTTCTGTAGTCTCATTTTGTGTAGGTATTAAAAACTTTTGTTTTTTAAATGCAAGCAGACATAAGGTCTTTATTCCAAAATGAAATACAAGAGCAGAAGAAGCAACAAGTTACGATTTTGTTTTGATTCCTCATTTCTAAAATCAAATATATCCAGTATACGTAGGCGTACACAGCCTCAAAATGGTTTCTGTGAATTAAGAGAATAATTTGGAATCACTTCACCCGAGACAAGCATAACAAAAGCAACAATTAAATGCCACTAAGTGTAGGGCAGCACATAGTAGAAGACTGCAAGCAATTAAAGTTAAAAGCAGTCATAAATGCATTTTTACTTAACCTGATTTTTATATGTTGGCTGAGAGCAAATCTTTACACATTTCTGTAGAGCAGAGAACCTGAGCATTTGATAGTGTTCCTGTTTAAGAGCATACTGAGTTACTTGGAGTTTGGGTTTTCTGGTTGATTACTGAAGAAAAAAGAGAAGGTGAAGAAAAGTGCGGCTCTTCGAATATGAGCTTTTCTTTCGTGATCATATCTCTGTGGTTGTGATATAGCATATGACAGGGTTTGTGTACTTGCCTCTTGCTTTGCATGATGAATGTGTTCTATTTGAGTAATGGCAGTGAAGCTAATTGGTTGTATTTCACTCTTCCTTGTAGATTCCAACAAAGTGTACTGCTTGGTGTGTATTGTAAAACTTTTGGAATGTATTGTAAAAGTTATTATTTAAAAATAATAAAATGAGAGCTGAGTCTGTATCAGTGATGCAGGATTTTAGGGACTGCCCACAGTGACACGTAACAGAGCATGTCAACGTGAGGCTAATCATGGCTGGTTGCCCAGCCATTGTATGCAAGGATGAGCTGTGTTTCATATTGTGTCTCCTTACCCTCATGATATGGCAGCTGGTGGCGTTTACCTGAGATGAGGCTAAACAAGCAGAGACGTGGTCTGCATAGCCAAGTGAAGCCAATGACCTTATAGCTAACTATTTTCAGGGTTTGGGTTTGGTTGGGTTTGGGTTTGGTTGGGTTTGGGTTTGGTTGCGTTGGTTTTTTAAGAAATGAGTTAAAAATCAACCGGTGTAAAACTAGTCTTTGTCTTTATTGATCTCAGGTGCTAACCGTGTGACCCTGGAGGACTCCAACATTCTTCAGCCGATGGGACTCACTGTGCTGGGGAATCACTTGTATTGGATTGATCGTCAGCAGCAGATGATTGAGAGAGTGGAGAAAATGAATGGGTACAAAAGGACTAGAATTCAAGGCCGAATTGCTCACCTAACAGGCATTCATGCTGTGGAAGAGCTTGACATGGAGGAATTCTGTGAGTTTATTTCAAGATCTGATGTCTCTCACTCTTGGTCACTGTTTCTCAAAGTTCTCATCCAGCTGAATATTGTAATAACATTGCCCAGTGGGCTTCCAATAAGCCATGGAGTGCTTTCAACTTGGCCAGTCGGGATCCTGGAAGAGGAGGAGAAACAAGTTCCTTGTTCTTGTCCAGAGGAGTATTTCTGGACAGCTAGAATATGTGATCTCATGGCACTTAGTTACCTGCTTTGCACAAGCTCAAATGTTACTGAATTCACTCTAAAAGCTATTTATAATTATGGTTGTTAATTTTTTTAGTACAACCAAGTAATAAGACTTGGAAAAACCTTTACAAAGAAAGAAAAGGATTGTACTTGCCTTTTCTCCAGGGGTTTCAGACCCTTGTATAAAGCATGACTAGCTTGACTTAGCAAAATTGATGTAAAAGCCTCCAGTGAGTGAGGGAGAATGGGCAGGAAGCTCCTACAGTAAATTATTGCGGATGTGGAATTTCTCTCCTGCCAGAGATGGAGCCATTTTAGGTGCTACCTTCTGAAGGGGGTCATGCATGCAGGACCTTCTTTTTGTGGACTGGTGATACAAGTTGCTGTGGTCTGGGGGACAGTGCAGAAACCTCTTAAAGTAGTCGCTCCTCAAAGTGACAACCTACAGCTCCTCCTGCTTAGCAGGAATAGAAGAGAGAATATAAAAGCACAAACAGGGTGTGTGAAACAGGGGGCTAATGACAGTGGCCTCTTTAAACTTTGTTGCCTATGATGAGTTGTCTACTATAGGGAGGGTAAATTTGTGTATAACGCTTTAATTTTCAGAAGAAATTATTCCATTTTGCAACGCTCTGTGCCACATACATTAGTTTCAATGATAGCTGAAAGTATTTTCAAACTTACTTATGTGGGTAAGCTGTTACAAATAAGGTAGCATAAGTATTTAAACTGTAGTAGATTGTATGTGGTAATCCTCATCCAGATGTTCACAATACCCAGTTTCTCTTCTGTGCCATTTCTCATATTTTTAGTGTATTTCAAAGGTAATACTGAATGATGCAAAAAGAATTTTTTCTTTAATTCTCAGCACTGTTAGAAAAAAAGATTGCTTTATATCCCTTGTGGGTTTTAGAAATGTTTATTTTTTATAGCGAGAGTACTGTTTCTTCTAAGTCACACTGAAAGGAATCACCGTTTGCAGCTGAAAACTGTCCTACATAGGTGACTTCTGTTACAACAGGAGAATAAAAGTATGTGCATTCCCACACCAGTATACATGCATGCACTTTTTCTGCTAGCAACCCGTGCCTCAAACTGTAGTGTCTCCAACAGTATATTAAATTAATGAATTTGTTAAAGGTGAAAGCAGGTTGCTGAGAAGCCCGGGCAGGTAGAAAATAATTTTGGCACAGAAATGATGATATCTCTACTGTTTCTTGCCTGTGGAAATTCTTGGTCCTTACCTTAAAGCACGCATTGTTCAGCAGCATCCCAAATAACACAGGCTGTAGCTCTGCCGATCGCTCCAGCAGATGCTGAGCTGTCGGCTGGAATAAGCAGGCAGGAGACTGGGTCTCTTCTGACTCTGTTGGGTTGGGGACCTCAGACAGTGGCCTCACTTCTCTGTGCCTGTTTCTTATTCATCTAATGTTCATTTAGAGTGATTCTGTTAGGAGCTCTCAGGTACTCAGTGCTTCTGGGTAATCGATTTGGGAACACAACCATGTAGCCTCCTATCTTTAAAAAAAAAAAAACCAAAACACTGTATGTGCTTATATTGCAGTTTTGTGAGTGACAGGGAAGTGGAGGGGCTAGATATTAGAGCTCTTTAAGATTAAAGGAGAATTCCTGGGGGTTTTGGGGGTTGGCATTCTGCAGTGATGTATGTTAATTCTTCATGCCTGGCTACCTTAGAAACACAGCTGGGATGTCTAGGTACGCTGTAAATGCAACCTTCTCGAATCTGCCTTCTCATTCCTCTTCACCTGAGCTCCCACATTCTTTTTAGAAGTCCTCTAAAGGTCTCCGTATCACTGTGACTGGGAGAAATGTCATCCTGATAAGGTAGTAAATCAGCTTTTGAGCACTGAACGGAAAAATCCTGCATTTAGCTTCCTATTAATTTGTAGTGAAATCTTGGTTATTCAAACAAGTGGTTTGTGGGTGATTTTGTGAGTTTGCCCTAGCTAGGAGTAGTTATAATTCCTTTTCTCCTGTCTGTTACTCTTTTCTGTGTGTTTCTCCAGCTGTGCATCCATGCTCCCGTGACAATGGTGGGTGTTCGCACATCTGCATTGCCAAAGGAGATGGGACTCCAAGATGTTCATGCCCCGAGCACCTTGTGCTTCTGCAGAATCTCTTAACATGTGGAGGTGAGTTATGTTTAACAGTACTGCTAAGCAGTTTACATCAAAAAAGATGGGGGTTGAGGTTGCATTCCAGTCCTAATGTGGATTTACACACAGTATTTTCCTGCCATGGTGAGTTGCATCATGTGTTAAATTGACCTTTGATTCTTCTACCAGCTGTTTTTTGCTTCAGTTTTTGGACATATATGACTTTTCATTATGAGCAGAATAGTCTTGTTTGACCTTAAAATACTTGCATCTTCTACTAAGATTTTTATAATTGTATGATGTGATAGGTTTGTGCTTTAAACAAATGCCTGACAATGATGTTGGATTAACCCATGATGACCTTCCAGCAGAAATTGCGCATATGATTCCCACAGTGTGATACTCCAGTCTTTCAAATTAATATGACCTCATAACATGAAACACTGTACTGTCTGGTTATGACATGTAGGCTAAAAACTCCATTGCAATCCTTTTTAATTAAGGTAGCTGTCCTCTTTTCACATGGTAGACTTTTTCTTTAGGCTTCCCTTTCACAGTCCCAAGATTTTTGAAAATTGTTATGTTACACTTGCAGAGGGGATTAAAAACAGAACAAAACATTGTTTCTTTTTGGGAGGCATCATATCGTAAATCGTTTGGCTGTAATGGTCCTCTTGACTTCTTTTTATGTATTCATTTTTCTGTGGATTTCATTTTCTGGCAGAGCTCTGACCTCCCATGGGACAGTGATTTCCATTATAAACTGTTTTCTTTCCCAGGACCACCACAGGCTATGTGGTTTTAGAGTAGTGGTTGTTACATCTGCAGGGAGGGAATAAAATCAATCTATTTATATTTCTTGCTGTGCTGTTGTTGCACAACACGACCAACGAGAGATTCTTATGTCCCACTCCTTTGTTATCTTCAGCTGTAAATCTAAAAATTAAGGGGCCTCCATTTCAGTGTCTGTGTTTTTTATTCTAATCCTTCGCTAAGCCTGCAACACCTTTTTAACCTGTCTTGTCTGCCATAGTAGCAGCCAATCGCCAGTATTTCAAAATAGATTAATAGCTATTGTGGCTGGGGGACAACATTTGTCCATGTACCGTAATGAATGTTCTTCACAAGTTTTTAAATGCAAGCTTGTGCCTGCCAAGTGCAACCTTAATACGACATCAATTATGGCTCTAAATGCAGAAGTCGTAATCTGTCTGTTGAATTATCTAAACTGCACACTCATATCAAAATTTAATTCAAGAAATATCTTAATGTGTGTATCTGGCATCTTTATCTTACCTACAGCTGTCAGATCACTGGATATATTTGTAATTCTCATATTGCTACACCAAATAATCATAAATCAGAAACTTAAAAATCATAAAATTTCCAAAATCAAGTACATTTGGATTTTTATTTGCAGTTTATTTTTCAAGTGCTTGGTTATACTTGTGTCTCATACTTGAACATTTCACCCAGTGAAGGAAGGACAGCAGCACTTCAAAAATGGTTTGCATGTAATTTTGTAGCTCTAGAATCTGTAACACCAGCCTCGGGAGAAAAACCCTCATCCAAAGTCTTGTCATTGGTTCCAACTGAGCAGCTTTCCTTCTGCTGGGTTCTTTGTGAAGTTTATTCCTGAACTTGAATGTTAATAAAAGCTTATTGGCTTTCCAGAGGAGTGTTGCCATCCAGTGTCAGAGCACACCTCCAGCTTGCTCAATATTGTTGTCACAGATGGGGTAAGATGTGGGACTCTGTTAATCCAAGTGGTAAACCATCTACTTAGAGCGTTGGCTGGCAAGAGCAGCCGTGGGGACTAGTGACTGCCTCTGTTAACTGATTTAATTACGTCACAGGGAGTTGACCCAGCAACTTTTGAAATCAGTGGAAATGTATCCGTTTGTTGCAGCGGGGTTTTGAGATGGCCTCCTCATTTTGAACATAACTAACTGCTACTGATAACAACTGAAGGGACTTAGACATTGACTGTTTCTTTCATTGATACTAATGGTGAAAAAGTATGTCCTGATTTGCTGTATGTAAGAATTAGGAGCATTTTTTTACAATAGATTCTTGATCTGGATTGTCTTTGTCTCTTGACATTCTGAAGAAAGTGACTATGAATGCCTTATTATGGCGTAATTGTTGCCTCTCTACATGAGGTTGTGGCTGCTACTTAATGCTATCAGTGTGTGATTACAACCTGAGCAACAGTATGGATGTGAAATGGGTTGATGCCAGGATCTCGGGGTCCATGACAAGTCAAATTTGAAGAAAGTCACAGCTTCCTTGGGTTCAACAAAAATAAAAATGTCTGTGCACAAGATCCAGTGTTGTGTCTCTGACTATAGTGAAGGAATGTAGGATCAGGGCAGGCCTGCAGTGCTCCTCAGACTACTCTCTGAACCTCCACTGACCTGCAGCCCAGATACTTTCCAGCAAGAGGATTTAGCTTAATGTTTAACAGACCTTTACAGATATTTCTTCTCCATTCATATTTTTCAATTCATATCTGACTCAGAAATTTGTTTGTGGAAAAAAACACTGGAAAAATAGAGAAACAGATATTGTAGAACCAGATGTTACATGTTTTAGGTGTATTCATTGCCAATTAACCCAATGTGCCAAGTTTTTTTACGAAGAATTGTTCCAGGCTAATATAATTGCAGAGATTAGAATTGTGTAGAATGTGGCTTGCAATCAGAAATTGAGTATTCATTTGAATTTATGTCCCTGACAGTGTCTTCCAAAAGGTAGCTGTTAGAGCCAAAGTAAGTATTTGTAGTTCCTGTCCTTTGTTCAGTGCTTGCCTGCTAAAGTAAGCTTCTTCAATCAGCACGCATCCAGTATTTGTTATGAAGTTGGCAAAATTTCATTCCCTATCCAAAATCATGTTTTCCTCTTTGCTAGAATCTTAATATTGTCACAGAAGAACTTCAGTGCAGGCCTAGGTATGTTTTTCTTGAAAAAGTCCGTCACATTTTCACTCTGTTGTAAAGGCTAAAATTGAATATACAAATGTGATTTGTTTTCTCTTTCTCCAGAACCTCCAACTTGTTCCCCAGACCAGTTTACCTGTGCAACTGGAGAGATTGACTGTATCCCAATGGCATGGCGGTGTGATGGATTTCCAGAGTGTGATGACCAGAGTGATGAAGATAATTGCCCCATATGCTCTGCATCCCAGTTCCAGTGTGAGAAAGGACAGTGTATTGATGCACACTTGCGGTGTAACGGAGAAATTGACTGCCAAGATAAATCTGATGAAGCAGATTGTGATAGTAAGATTAATTTTCCTGAATTCATGGTTCTAACCTAAGCGTCCTTTTGGGATTCTAACTGTTCTTCATATATACATATGATTTTTAGTTTCAAATGGGGAAAACCAGCCTTACCATAAGCCTAACTAAGCTATCCACTGTTTTTCTTTTCCTCGTTCTTATTCTGTTGCTCAAATTAAACTTCTCTGTAGCTACATGAATTTCTGACCATGCAACTATAGATATGGGGGAGGCTGGGGAGAGTATCTTCAATCCATATTCAGAATGAAAATGGGAAAGAAACTGGCAGAACTTACCACATGCTTTTTTTTTTTCTGTGCATAATTACCATTTTGGCTTGCACTGTTTTCACCATGTCCACTTGACCTTCAGACAGTGATCACTGCAAGGTGCCACAGGGAGGAAGAGATGGACTCAATCCTGTGGCTGAATTAACTGTTCTAAGAGTTCAGTCTTAGCAAGCTGATGCTTATAATCCTGGATGTACCGTTCTATGAGAAATCTGTAGAACGATATCCAAGGAAGTCTTGCTGCTGCAGCTGCTTTGTATGCAATCAGCCGTAGGATCTGGACAAGTGCATTTGCATTTCCTTTGGTTGGTGGGAAAACTTACATATTCTGTGTCTACTATCAAGGCATAGCTGAAACAGACACTTGACGATGAGCTGGCGCCATGGTTTCTGTCACTGTTTAAGGCTGGGCAGACACTTAAAGCGTATGGCAGATGCTCTCTATTAACCTCTTCCTTTCCCTGAAGGAGAAGGAGAGGAGAAAAGGGAGACAGACTTATGGGTTGGAAACTTAAAACAACTTTAACAAAACAATAACAATGAAAAAAGAGTATAAATAAGAGTAATACTAATACTAATAGAAATATAAAGATACAAAACCAATATTGAGCTCCCTGATGATGACCGCAGGACCACATGCAGTGTTCATGCGGCAGGGCAGGCACCTGGCTGTCCTGGACTGGACTCTGCAGCAGACAGGAGTCAGATTCAGGAATGGATGGATCAGGGTTGGAGGCAGTAGAGCGAGCAGACTCCCACCAGGATGCCGGCCATGAAGGAAAGAGGGCTGACCCCTGTGATCCCTGAGCTTTATACTGAGTATTCCCGTGGGTGGAATGGAATACTGCATTGGTCAGTCCTTGGTCACTTGTCCTGTCCACAGCTTCCTGCGGGTGCGACCCTTTTCCGCCTCCCACCTACGTGCCGACCACAAGAGAGCCCACAGGGAACAAGCACACACACATGGGCCTTTCTGCATAACGGTCCCACTTCTACCCCAGCAACAACTCCAGACATCAAGCGCCATCAACTCTAAAAGCAGGCACTGCCTGAAAAACCTGTAGTTACCTTCAGAAAGTGCAGTTACTTAGGAAAACTTAACTGAAGGAAAATCTACTAAAAGCAGAAATGGTCCTGTTTTAGCCAAACCAGGACAGTTTCTTACTGCTGTACAAAATTTCAGGAGCCAATTCAGTAGTGTGGCTCTTGCCCTTTGAAGCTTCAGGACTCTTGGCTCTACCCACTCAGTGGCTAACCATTGCCACTAGACCAACAGGATAGATTTTTGTGGACATTTCATTGAGCAATTCTGTGGATTTGCAATGTCTCCTGTAACTCTGAGCCTGGACTCCAGAACACCAGTACCTTCTTTGCAAAAAGAAGAGGATCAGCCATGTTCCTCATTTTCTTGTCGGAGGTGGTACTTACTACCTGTGCTGCTTCATCAAGAGGCTCTGCATTGTCCACCATGGAGCCCACATGCAGTATAACGGTGCCATGACCCACACGTAGAGTCAAAGTGGAATGCGCATTTGGTCATGTCCCTGTGAAATGGTGGGCACTGCTAGGCAAACTTAATGCTAATGTTCCTGGCATCGTATGAACTGCAGGTGCCTGCCTTGCCCTGCACAGCCCTTTTGAGGGCACCAGATGAGCCTTACCATCTGCTCTAGAATAGATGAAAACAGGTTCTTCAGTGGTTGTAAGCACTTGGGCAACCCAAGGCTAGACTTTTGTCCACAATGCTGTCTGACACTTCCCTAGAAGCACTATGAACATACTCAGTGTCCAGGGTTGGACCCAGGGAGATGTGGCAAATGTGGCCTCTGTGGTCCTCAGGAATCTTTACAGGCCAAGCCCTGAGTGGGTTCCTAAGAAAAATAAAACCAATAGGCCTTTCTCATCCCTTGGCATGTGTCAGCCTATAACCCACAAAATCCCAGAATGGTCGGGTTTGGAAGGGACCTCTGGAGATCATCCAGTCCAACCTCCCTGCCAAAGCAGGGTCACCTACAGCAAGTTTCACAGGATAGCGTCCAGACAGGTTTTGAATATCCCCAGAGAAGGAGACTCCACAACCTCTTTGGGCAGCCTGTTCCAGCACTCTGCCTCCCTCAAAGTAGAGAAGTTCTTCCTCATATTCAGATGGAACTTCCTTAGTTTCAGTTTGTGCCTGTTGCCCCTTAACCTGTCGCTGGGCACCACTGAAAAGAGTCTGGCCTCATCCTCTTGACACCCACCCTTAAGGTATTTATAAGCATTGATGAGATCCCCTCTCAGTCTGCTCTTCTCCAGGCTGAACAGACCCAGTTCCCTCAGCCTTTCCTCATAAGGAGGATGCTCCAGTCCCCTCATCGTCTTTGTTGCCCTCCGCTGGTAGCTCCTTGTCTGTCTGGAACTGGGGAGCCCAGAACTGGACACAGCACTCCAGATGTGGCCTCACGAGGGTAGAGTAGGAGGGGAGGAGAACCTCCCTCGACCTGCT